TACTTTCCTGTTAGGACTGAAGGACTCATCTGTTCATGATGCATAGGCTTCAAGAGGCTGGGAGTGCAAGGAGAAGGACAATACCTGTGACATCTCTAGTTCCTGGGCTAGCGTGTGGTTCTGGTGGGTGTTTGATACAGCTATGAAAACTTGGCTGGCCTCTGACTCCTCATGAGCAAGTTCAGGGTAATCACAGGGCCTGGTAGTATTCGAGGGCAGTGGGGTGAGACATCCCCAAGAGCCCAGAGCTCCTGTCACTGTTTTGATCAACCTGGAATCAATAGCGAGGTCCAGTTTTTGATGGGGATTGAGGACTTGAAGATCATACAGCATTAATATCTCTGTCGGGAACTGGGTTCCTGACCTGTGGTTGCTCTGGCCACAGGGGGAATCATTTTCTGGAATTGTATAGGCAGAGGTTACACTCCCAACTTCCACAAGAGGGCGCGCTGGGCCTAGATTTTTCCCTGAGAGTGCGGGTGTCCCGGACTATCATCACCTGGTCTTCAAGAGAAAGGACCGGCCAAGCCGGGGCTAGAGGAAGGTGGGATTGCAGAGTTCAGCTCTGGGTCTCAAGGTCAAAATGCTGATTGGGAGAAAAAGTTACTGTGTTGCTATTTTTACATTAAAGACATCTTTTTATCTGTTCTAAACCGTCAAGGGCAAAATGAGCTCTGAGTTTCTGTGATAAGGTGGGTGACGGCTGGATGCTGGCAGGCAGCTGGGGAGGAGGCCGAGAGAGGAGCACAGGAGAGGCTGTGCTGGGGACATCAGGGCAGAGCACAGCGGGGTGTGTCCGCTGTCCTTTCCTGTCCACTCCCGAGATGCAGCTGCTCTATCCTGGTTCCCGAGACACCTCTCTCTTTGTCTCCTTGGCACTGTCCCCTATCCCTCTTGGCAACAATGCCATCAGATTTACTCAGAGGTGTTATTCATAACAGACCTGGGAGTCTTTCCTGCCTCTACCTTCCTCCCTTCTGTTTTTCTTCGAGGTGGGGGAGCTAGCTTGGATTCACTGACTTTTATGAACTTAAGACACACAGAGACCCCCCTCCGCTCACTCCCATTCCACAGCCTGGTGCTCAGGGCCCTGCAGCCCATCTGGCAGAGGGAAAGAACTAGAAGGGACTTGTTGCTTGGTGGCCTTCCAGGATGCCTTGCTCTCCACCCTTCTCCCAGCCCTGACAACTCAATCCAGCTGACAAGACAGGAAACGGGAGTGCTCAGCAGGCCAGCAGCCAAGAAGGCCACTTTTCCCTCTGGGGAGAAAACAAAGCTGGAGAGGGCCACGGTCACCCCCACCCTCACCCCACCCCCTCTCAGGAGTCTCAGAGAACTTCCAGCTCAAGTGTAGGGAAGATGCTAGACTCCAGCCTTTGGCCTTGAAGCAAGAGTAGCTGAGCAAGTACAAATGGAGCCTGGGGGAGCTTCTGCTGCAACTGGAGCTGCAGGCAGGCAAGGAGGGGTCAAATGTCACACCACAAGGATCCAGGGAGGGGTCAGAGGCATCACCAGTTCACAATAAAGACGTCCAACTTGGGCAACTTTCTGAATGGGTTCTCCAGCTCCAGAGAGAGAGGGTAGAGGGCGGGAGAGGCAATTTGCATTGTATTTACATCTCATTTGCATACAACTCTTTTGATGTCCGAAGGCACTGAAATTTCCTGCCCTTCCTTCTTTTTCCCTTTCTTTCCTCTGCCCCTTTTTAACCTCCAGGCAGCTTCCTATCTCAGCCCCCCTCTCTGTGGTTTTTCTCTCTCTTTAACAGAGGCAGGAGGATTAAGCCTGGGGGAATGTTGCTCACCAGGCCAGAGCTCAAAGCTGGTTTCATGCAGCTGTGCTGGGAAGGAGTGGGGGTGGGGTCTCAATCCTATCCATCTAATTGAAACAATTATCAGGCAAGATCACAAGGGAGAGAAAGGGATGGTCTAGCTCTCCTCCTTGCCCATCTCTCTCTCTCTTTCCCTTTCTCTCTCTCTCTCTCTCTCTCACACACACACACACACACATACACACACACACACGCAGAGGAGAGGGAGAGAGAGAGGGAAAGAGAGAGAGAGAGAGAGGCCAGTGCCAGACTGGATCTGGTCTAAACCCTAACCTTATCATCTCCTGGCAGTGTTAATCTCCCTGAACCTCAGTTTCCCCATCTTTCCCCATCTATATAAGTGGCGGTTAATGATTTTACCTTTCAATTAAATGAATAAGTGTTAACTTAAAACAAACAAAGATGCCCTGGAGAGATAGCTTGGTGGGGAAATGCTTACCTTGCAAGCACAAGGACCCAAATTCCATCCCCAGAGTCCACTGTAAAATAGCCGGGTGAGGTGGCCTGCACCTGCCATCCCACTGACCGGCCAGCCTGTCCTGCTGGGGAGCTGGGCAATGATAAACCGTGTCTCAAGAAATAAGGTGGCTAGTACTTGAGCAATGACTCTTGTGGTTCCTCTGCCCATTCTCCAAGGAACACAGGAATACACAAACCCAAAGATGTTGTAAATTCAATATGGAGCACAGCTCTCCACACTAGGGGAGCACACACTACTAACGGATGAGTGAAGAGATGAACAACAGCTCAGACAATGTTTGCCAAAGTCTCCTCACCCCGCCCCCACCCCCCAATCTTTGGAGCCTTTAAGCTTTTCTTGCAACTGTGAACTCCGGAGATCCTGTCTCTTTCTCAGCTCTTCCCTCCCTGGAGAACGCTGCACCAGCCAACACACACACCTCAAACCCAGAATCTTAACTAGCTAGCTCTTGGACATTATCAGATAAAAACTTCTCTGGCTTCGAGAATACTAGAGCCCAGGGGAAAACGAGGAGATTCCACTTGGGAAAATTGCACCAAGTCCAAGATTAAGTGGTCAGGGTACCAGACCCTGAGTACACAGGCCATGCAAATGCATGCAAATAGAGATACGGAAATCACAAGCACACTGGGGTCTATAGACGTGGAGCAGGCATCTTTACTGTGTTGATGGCAGGTGAGTACAGCTTTAGATTAGACACTGAGCACAGAGAAGGAGCCCAACAAGGGAAGGAAGGGACAGGCTGAGAATGTCCTGAGTGGGACTTCCAGGATCACTTGAACCTCCAAAAACCCTAGCCTAATCTCTTTCCGAGATCAGAAGAAACAAAAAGAAAGTCCCTTCCTTCTTGCCAAGAGGGGCAGGTGGGTATGACTGAGACAGGCACTTTGCCCAGCCCTGAGGACTCACTTATGCCCTCCCCACTCCTCCACTTGGCACTTAAACCTTCTGATGTCTGGTGTGCCCAACATTGTTCCAGGACCTGAAGGCAACAGAACAAAACATCCAGTAAGTAAAAACAAAAACTAAGAGGTGAACTAAGAAGAGGCCACAAAACCCTTTACCCAGGGTGCAAAAGCTCTAATCACGGCTGGCAGCTTGCATGCACGATGCTCAATGTTCAATTCCCAGTGCTGGGGTTGAAAATAGAGTGGAGGGCATCTCCACTTCCCCAGTCCCAGACACTTCCAGCTTCAAAAGGAAAGAGCAGGCAGAGCAGGGCTGCAGAGCACAGAATTCTGTTCTTGGTTTTTTGTTTGTTTGTTGTTGTTTAGAGGGGGGCTGAGTTGCACAGCATACAGCCTCAGCGTTCCCATCCGTGAAATAGAAACGTTGCTACTATTTACAGGTTTGCTCGAAGTTTGGGAGAATAGGACGTCAAGGCCTAAACTACATAAGGGGACTCTACCTTAAAACAGGAACAGGCTGGGAATACAGCGCAGAGCTGGGCAGCCCTTCAAAATATCAGCAACAGCAATAATGATGATATTAAAGGTGCCTTTAAAGTTTTCCAACTCCGTGTCCAGCCCAAAGTAAGAGCGCAGTAAACCTGGGGTATTGTGAATGAGATGTTCAGGAGGAAAATATTTTTTTATTTTATTTTTTTTAAAGGCAGAAAAGCCCAAAGCCATCCTGGGAAATGGCTTGGGTCCACGGTGATGGGAGGCTAATGGGAATCTCTCTAGAAAAGAAATAGAAAGTGAGGCTCTGTACTCCTGAGCTGGCTGTGTATGTTCCCTGGGCCACGGAGTCACTCAGTGGCAGCTGAAGAGCATAAGGAGTCTTCTACTCACGCAGGGGCGCCCTGGGATGGGAGGAGCCCAGGCTCCTCCAGGTTTTGGATAAGTCACTCCAGTCCCTGGAAGGTGACCTTCGCCAAAACGGCTGGCATTGGTGGACATTCTCCACACCCTTCTCTGTCATAACTTGAGATCGGAGGTGACGGTGGGCAACAGCAGGGAAGGGGCAGCCCTGTTGGTCTGGAAACAGTAAGGAGAAGCGGCTGCAGTCGAGGTTCTACACTGACGAGGGCAAGGCACGGGCAGCAGCCCGGTTTGGTCACCTGCTTAGCCTTGATAGATGCCTGCTATTAACCCAGGCTTAAAACGGGGTGGTAAACCGTTGGAAGGCGAGACTGTTCGCAGCACCCCCAACTGCCTTTTCCAAACCCTCCCGGTTCCTGCGCTGCCCTGCTTAACTTTTCTTGAGCACAACCAGGCAGAAGCCCGGGGTTCCCCAGAAGGGCAAGCTGCCCCCGGACTCTGAGCTGCCGAGAGCGTGCTGGGGAGGGACTGCTAGGCGGGGTCTCGACAGACAGGTGTTCCTCAGGGTCGGGACCCGCCCCGGCAGCACCTCGACACCCCTCTCCCGGCCCCTAGCTCCACACATGCAAATCCCCTGTTTTGCATGGGCCCCGGGCCAAGCGCGGGGGCCTCGCCAGGGGGCGTGGCCGAGGCCCCCGCCCCGTGCCGCGTGCTCACCTGGGGAGTGTGCTGAGCCTGTCGGCGGCGGAGTGCTGCCGGGGCCGGAGCAGCGGAGCGCGCGACCGAGGTGGCTGCCGCTCCGGGAGTGGCGGCAGCTGCGGCGACAGAGGGCGGGTGGAAGGAGACCCTGGCTTCCCCGGGGGCCAGGCTGGGGCAGCCGCGAGGGACCTGGGGGGGCGCTGGCTTTGGCCCCGCCTGGGGCAGGATGGTGAATCTGGAGCCCATGCACACAGGTGAGGGGCGGAGGGAGTGAGCTCCGACAGGTGTCACTGCTCTTGGGAAGGGACCAAGGACCGGGACACCGTTGCACCGCGCGGGGGCGGAGGGGGGGAGGAGAGGGGATAACTCCCGGATGGCCAGGAGAGGGCGATGCGGATAGCGGGTCCTTCCGGGCCAACGTAGCTAGGTAGGTGTTGAGAGGGGGGCGGTTAAAGGAGCAACTTTGGAATATGAAACCTTGGAGAACAATGAATAGGAGTATGAAGTTCCTGAAGCCCCAGATCCGGGGAGTTAAGACAGTGCGTGGGACTTGGGTGTGCTGAAGTGCTGGAGTCCCAGGAGGTTGCAGGAGATGGGTGGTTCACTCACTCAGCTAGGGTGTGGACCTGGGAGTGCATACGTGTGCCCACATGCTGCGCGTTTGGTGTCTGGGCACCTGTGTGCAACGCAGGCAAAGTGGGCATGGGGAGGGGGGGGTGCCTAGGGGAAGTGGGTAGGGTGGAGCAAATCCGAAGGCGCACCTGGGGCAGAGGCCATGCCACGGGGTCGTTCATTGATTAGGACTTGTGCAAGCATGTGTTTGTGTGTGTGTGTGTGTGTGTGTGTGTGTGTGCGCGCGCGCCGTCTCCCGTGTGTGTTGGGAGAATTGGTGGGACCAATTCCCCGAGGAACCTGATGAGTCTCGGACCACACGTGTCAGGCACGTGTTGGAGGTGTGTCCACTCATTATCCGCGGGTCATCTGTGCTATGGACTCAGTGCATAATGGACGTGCATCCCAGAGGGGATTGGCGACAGGGACATCTGAGTCTGATAGCCCATGACCTCCTTTCCTGACGAACCCAGGAGATGGGAAGGCAAGGAGTCAGTTTCCTCTGGGGACGAATGAGAGGTGGTGAGAACCAGCCCCACCATTCACTTTCTGATCCTTCCGTCTACAGCTGGGCTGAGGGTGCTAGTGAGCTAAAGGGGTGATGGGTTGAGGTGGGAAGGGATCATGTCCTGATGAGATGCCAGAGGTGTTGGGACAAGTAACAGAATCAAGGTGAGAAAGTTACACCTAAATTGGCCACTTGAAGCCCTAGTACCTTACCCCTCACAGTGCAAGGACCCAGTAATTTTTCTTTAGGACTTCAAGGTTGCTGCAGAGATTATGTTAATTGCTCTAGAAATGTGGAGAGGTAGAGAGGGGGAGGAGGAAGAAGAGGGTGAAGAGGAGGAAAGCAGATCTTCTGGCCCACCCTAAGAACAAAACAGGCTAGAGCTTCCTGTCTCCCACCACTCCCGGAAACTGGCATCAGTGGGGGCCCAAGGAGGCCATGATGCTTAGTTCCACTGAAGCTGTTTCCCAGCAGGACTGGGTGCAAGGGTTACTGGCGGAGAGATGTTGGCACTCAGTGGCTGGTGCCCGGGATTTGCCAGGAAGGACTAGGTGAGGCTGAAGGAACCATCCAACTGGGTGTAATCCAGTGTCTGAGGAAAGTTTTTGGATCCAAAGCACTACTGTGGAACTGAAACTACCCCGGGGGACAGGTCCTCTGGGCAGGCATTTCAGCCCTCCTTTTCTATCAAGAAGGCCAGTGTTCAAGTGGAAATGTGTCTCCTCCAAAGGTAGAAATCTGGAGTTCTCTAGAACCAACCAAGCTCAGGGACTTCCTGGGGGGTTTCCACCTCCCCGAGTACTGCAGGCTTCTGCCTGGGGAAGTGGGAGGAGGTGGGAGAGCTGGCTCCTGGCAGGGTAGCAGCCTAGGAACTGGAAGGATCTGGTAGAGAGCAAGAGAGGAGAGAGGTTGGGAAGAAAAGGCCAAACCCCTCCACCCATGCAAGCCCCTACCAGTTGCTTCTCAAAGATCTGTACAGCTCCGTCCTACAGTGCTGTGGGCAGTGTGCTGAACCCAAAGTGGGTGGCTCCTCAGGATGGGGGTTCATCTTGTCTTCATTGTCTTTTGAGATGCAGCCTTGCCGAGTAGCTCAGGTTTATATCAAACTCAAATTAATCCTTCTGCCTCAGCTTCCCCAGTTCTTGGATTGCGGGCATAAGCTGATGGGCTGGGTTTTTGAGGTCTTTGTGGGGCCTTTTGATGGGTGTATGGAGGAAGAGGCCCCTTCTTTCATTATATGCTCCCAGCTTTGGTCCCTCAGCCTAGGCTCCTCTTTATTTTAGAAACCTGGTGTAGTCCCGCAATAGTAATCCCATATTCTGCTGCTTCCAAGTCCCCTGGAATTCCCGACCCCAGGCCGTTAGGGGTGACTCCTCCTTCATTTCCTGGGGTAGTACCCCTGCAGAAGGAGAGTGGTAGGAGTCCGTAAACCGTCCCCCTTCAGAGGGCTCCGTAGCTGTGTGAGCCCTTGAGTCGGCTCTGACTCAGGTTTGCCACAGCCTCAGCAATGTGTTCTCACAGGACACCTTTCACCGTGGAGCCTGGAGATCTGGAGCAAGTCGCACGGGAGTTCTCAAACAGAGAGGGGCTTCCTGCCCTTGGGCCTGAAGGGATAGACAGGAGCCAGTCAGTTAGAGAGGGAGAAGAGAGAAAAGTAGCTCAAAGTCAGCCAGAGGATACCAGTGTCTGCCCTGGGGTCTTTCTGTGTTTTTCACTGTCAGCTTAGGGAGGGAGGTTAGTGTAGCAGACCTGTGCCGGTCGGAACTCAGGAATGCTATCTGGGTCAAAAGGCCTGTCAGAAGAAGGGAGAAGAAGAGTCTGTACTTGAAGCGTTGGAGTCCTGGCTGGCTCGGAAGTGGCAATGGAGGGTCCCAGAGAGTGTGCCCCTGTAGAGGGACCCACCAAAGAAAGCATTTAAGGAAAGAACCCAGATGCAGGACTAGTCCCTTCCTAGGAAGGGAATAATGACAACAGGGGAGAGAGGTGAGGCTCCTGTTTGCCCCTGTTTGGACTCTGGAGGACACTCAGCCTGCTGCCTGGAGACAGCAGAGACTTTGGGGTGCCTATGTTTCCAGGTGTTTATTGGGGGAACAACTTCCCACCAGACCACAGGAAGGCCAGGACAACTTCACTCTATGACAGAGCTAGATGGGGCAGATTGCAGTCTACATGCGGTATCTGGGTGCTTACAGTGAGCAGCTGAGCCTCCTTAGGGAAGGGAGGGTGGCAGAGAGACGACTCAGACAGAGATAAGAACAGAGCCGAGCTGGCCCCACCCCACAGCTCTCTCCCTCACCCCCGGCAGTGCTGTCCAATGGGTGAAGGGTTATTGCCAGCGTCTCAGGGAGTTTCGGTGTTGGCCCATTTTTAGGCCGAGACCCAAGGGTCCCTCCCACCCATCAGCATCAGCCTCCTACCCAACAAGAACAGGTTCTTAGCATTGGAGCATGCTGGGGACTGAAGGAGAAGGCTTCCAGGTTATTTCACCCTATCCCTCACGAATCTCCACTCCCTGCCTGAAGAGACAGGCTGTCACCAGGTCATGGCAGCAGGAGGGACCTTGGATGTCTCTAGAAATAACTTTCAGACACCATTAAGACTAAGCTTTAAGTTTATTTAAAGGACAAGCGAGAAGGCTTCTGGGTGTAGAGTGATGGAGGGAATGGGTGTTAGGGAAAGCTGGAGTGGCAGGCAACAGAATAAGGCACAAAAAGCTACCTGTTTAAGTCAGTCCTCATGGCATGTATTCCCAGATACTCTGGGGAGGCTAAAACATGAAGATCACAAGTCCTGCATAAGCTAGAGCAAGTGTAAGGCTAGCCTGGGCAACTTACTGAGACCCTGCCCCAAAACTGGAAAGGCCTGGGGTATGTCTCAGTGGTAGCAGAAATAAGATCATACTTGTATTCTTAGTTCCCAAACACACACACACACACACACACACACACACACACACACACACACACACAC